ACACACACACACACTGGGCCTGTTTCAGTAAGGAGGTTTGAGCAACTCTGAGTTTAAAGTTGAGTTGATTTAGCGAGAGATGGAGACTCTTTTTGGCTTTCAGTGCAGCTGATCTGAGTTCAGTCAGTCAAGTCAGAGTAAATTAAGGTTACAGCAAATATGAGCAAATATTGAAAACAGGTTAATGCGGAGGCTCACATCTAAAGCATTGAAGCACAGTCAGTAATGTATTCACCCCCCTTTGATTGTTTTCTTCTTTGTTAAATATTGAACAGATTGAGGAAATGTTCACAGTGTGTCTGATAATGTTTGTTCTTCTGGAGAAAGTCTTATTTGTTTTATTTGTGCTAGAATAAAAGCAGTGTTTAATAGTGTTAAAGTCATGTTAAGCTCAATATTATTAGCCTCCTTCAGCAATATTAGTGTTGGATTGTCTCCAGAACAAACCACTGTTATACAATGACTTGCCTAATTACCCTAACTTTACCCTGATTACCCTAGTGAAGCCTTTACATGTCACTGTAAGCTGAACACTAGTGTCTTGAAGAATATCTAGTCTAATATTCTGTGCTGTCATCATGGAGAAGAGGAAACACATCAGCTATTAGAGATGAGTTATGAACACTGTTATAATCAGAGGTGTGTTGAGGAAATCTGCTCTCTGTTAAACAGAAATTAGGGGAAAAATAAACAAGGAGGGGGGGTCTAATAATTCAACAAACAACAGCAGATCACACACAAACAAACACACACCTCACATCACACACTGCACTTGTACACACACTCCTGCATTCTGCCTGACTGGGGACCAAAACAATCAACACACAGGGTCTGAAACTACTGGTATTGCTATACTTGTGGGGACATATCGGTAACAACACAAGAAATACAAGGCACACACACACACACACACACACACACACACACACACACACACAGCTGTCCCTCAGTGTAATCTACATGTTTCCTGCCAAAGATGATGATCTCCAGAAAGTGTGTGTGTGTGTGTGTGTGTGTGTGTGTGTGTGTGTGTGTGTGTGTGTGTGTGTGTGTGTGTGTGTGTGTGTGTGTGTGTGTGTGAAACAGAGCTCTTTAAGTGTGTGTTCAGCATTGAAATGCATCAGTCCCATCATGCAGTTCTGCAGGAGCATTAGCATGAGCGCTAAAGCCGTGTGCTGTGCGTCATCATCACGCTTCTGCATTATTAATCATCATTTCTCTGAGATGGAAAGAAGGCAGATGTGTTTAATCAGAGCTAAAGCGGCTCTCGTCAGCCAGGAGCATTACACCGAGATGTGGGTCGACATGTTGATCACGACACCACACCAGCCAGCCAATCACCTGCCGGAGAGCTGTGACACAGGCAGACATCCGCCGCGGGGGTTCACCTCACATCACTGACTCTACTATGAGCTCAGAGGATGAAGAGAGTGCACACCTCCTCCTCACTTATCCTGTGAGCACGGCTGTACAGGGCTGTCCTAAAGCCCCCTGTGTTCATCTATTCACATCATCAGCTCTTCTACTCTACACTTGTGATTGGTGTATTGGTTAATCGGGCGCTGCAACCTCAGAAGTGTGAGTGTGGGGTGCAGAAGTGTCAGCGGTGAGGGGTTCAGTTCAATTCTACTTGAGTAAACCACTATAATGACACCAGCATTAAAGGCACAGGCCACAGGAACAGCTCCAGTGTGTTCACAGCAGAAAATATATTGTATTGTGTGTGTATATAGTGCATGTATTGTTTATGGACATACATCCAGAGCACTTCACAATCATGAGGGGGGTCTCTCAACTCCACCACCAGTGTGCAGCTCCACTTGGATGATGCGACGGCAGCCACAGGACAACAGAGCCAGGGGTTCACCACACACCAGCTATTGGGGGAGAGGAGAGACAGTGATAGAGCCAATTCAGTGGATGGGGATGATTGGGAGGCCATGATGGAGGGAGTTTGGCCAGGACACCGGGGTTACCCCCTACTCTTTACCAGAAGTGCCATGGGGTTATTAAAGGGCCATGAAAGCCCCTCGTTTCAGCAGGGTGTTTTCACACCTCTACTTTGGAAAAAGTCAGAAAAGTGGGCGTGTCCGGCTCTGTTTAGGGGGGAGTGTCGGAGGAACTAAAGTGGGAGGGTGTGGGAGTGTCTATTTGTGCACGCGTGAGTTTCAGAGTCAAAACACACACACACACACAGACAGGAGAAAGTGATGGTGTTTAACCTACATGGACATCTGTAGTGGAATTATTTGCCAAATGATTAAATGCTGGACTTTAACTGCAGTTTGGCTCTTTCATTCAGGGAATTCATTCATGTCCCTCGCGACAAACGAGATATTTGATTGGAGGAGCTGCTCGCGACAAACGAGATATTTGATTGGAGGAGCTGCTCCAAGCGTGTATTTTTCATGCAATGTTTGATACCGCACGGCGAATGAGAGAGAAAAACCCTCAGCATTTTCCGGAAACTTAGATGCACACGGCAGGTAGTGTCAGAAAGCCGCGTGTGTTATTCCGGTCACTAAATGCGGTGAAAATCCTACACCAGGTTAAAGTTTGGTTGGGTGCTAACATGTTTACACTCGGTGCAATAGTTAACTTAGTTTGATACGAACAAACTGAATAAATAAAGAGCACTGGTCACTCACTTACCAAATCTGTAGAGACAGGACAATCACCAGCAACTAGAGCCGCGTCTGTATTAAGAGGAGACTAGCAGCGAATCCGGATCTCAGCGTTTGCAGATGAGAACAGCTCTCAGGTAAACAATAATCCTCCTTAGACACGTAAGTTATTGTAGTTGAGCGTCGCGTACACTGTTAATCCACACGTGACTCCAGCTGCGCTCTCACAGAGAGAAAATGAAAACAAAACTTCACTGCAGCAAACTATAAAAGCAACACTTCACGCTTGTTTTGCCAACACAACGTGGCGTCTCTGCCGTCTAAACACTGTGACAGTAATGAATATTAATGAAGTTGCACAATAGAGCGCGCTGATTGGTTTGAACCAAGCCTTACTCATGCATTAATGCAGCACACTGTAAGACGTAATAAGACTCACTCTGGCACAGACGCTCAGTCTGCACGCTGGAATACACGCTATTATGTCATGACCGTGACGCAGCTTCAAAAATTCGTTTCAAACCGGAAGCACGAATTTGCTTGAAATAACGCAAAAACAACCAATTTACACTTTTTAGTGAAATATAGGTGTCCTAATAGTGTTTATAGCAGTGTGAGACACATATACCACTGTCAACAGCTCAACACATGTGTTCTGGTGTTTCGTGACCCTTTAATGAGCACAGAGAGTCAGGAGCTCAGTTTAACATCTCATCTGAAAGACGGCGCTCACTGACAGTATAGTGTCCCCTTCACTACACTGAGGCATTAGGACCCACACAGACCAC